CTACAGAAAATTCCTGATAGTGATAAGAGCTGGTTTGACCAACATCTGTTGAGAATATTCTGTGATATGGTAAAAACCATTTCTGTTCAACTGTATTGAAGTTTTACACAGTCTTTATAAAGAAAGAATACTTGGGTAGATGCCAGAATCCCTAGTAGCAGGAGAAGATCACAAAAAAAAAAATCTCAGGCTGGCTAGTATTAGGTCTTTCTATTTGATATTCTTAACATTTAATTAGTTAAACACACTGTGAGACATCCCAGTCTAGATTGCCTAGGGTCTGCCTTTTCTTCAGAGAACTATAAGTCACCCTGTCTGAGAGTTCTGCTTCACAGAAGTCTATAATGCCAAGATTTCAATAAATGTTCAGAGGGATAATTGCTTTTCATTATTTTTCATAACATTCTGCATATCTGATTTAGCATTGCCCACTCTGGTTAGAGATCTTGTCCTAACCCAAAGCTGGATTTAGGAATCTAAAGRTTTCTAGTCTGCAGATTTGGCTGCACTGACCAGAATTGAGCAGACCCTGAGCAGGCTGTCAGAGGTGCACCCAGGAAGACAGAGATGAACATATTTTCTTCATCCTTTCTTCTGACTTTCCCAATGCTATTTCTTAATACCTTAGGCATCTATTGATCCTGAAGCTTTCAGAAACACAGAGCATCTGTAGAGCAGTGCAGTTGGTATGAAACACTGATATACCAAAAACCAGAATGTATTACCCACACTTCACTCTCAGTGTGGTGGTTCACTTGCATTTTGGGAGAGTGCCACAAGATGCAGGCTACAAACYTTCAGCTCCCGGCATGAGCACCAGAGGAATTTTGTGCACCAATAAAGTAGCACCACGTTTTCCTACCACACTGACACACACAGACTACCTGATTTGTTGTCAGAACTAACTGTGCTGAAGACCCCTAATTAATGGTTAGCCATCTCCTGCACCTCTAATTAATGGTTAGCCATCTCCTGTGTGCAAAGGGTTTGACTGAAACACTCAGGGCCAGCGCTTTGGTTGGCTCCACTCTTATCTTACTTGAAGCTGATAAAAGGAGTGTGTCTACCCTTACTGCCGCTCCTCACAAATCCCTGGGCAGAAGCAATCACTTTCTGGCAGATTCTGTCAACAACAAACAGCAGCACTTTTCTGCAGTGTCACACCAATCTCACCTCTGGTGCAGTCAGGCAACAGCAGCATCTGAGCAATTTTCTCCGTCCCCATTCCTGTGCGTGCCCTAATGGTCAGGCGACAGGGAGAAGGAAGGAACAAGGTATCAGAATTAAGGAATGTTTACCGACTGCTTTACAGTTCTCCTGGGTTGTTAGCTCTTGCAGTTACAGGAACCACTTCTGATCTCAAGCAAATGGCACAGGGTGTGAAAATTGATCAATATTTCTCCACCAGCAGCTGCATCTTGGGAGTTACCTCCAGTATAGGGCTGGGAATTTGATACCCAAAAAAAACTCTCCAGGGGACTTACATTGACACTGCCTTTAGTAAAAAAAAAACATTTTGTGATGTTCCTATGTTTACTTACCTCTCTTTATGTTTTTTCTACCTTACATCTATGTAAAAAAGAAAAAACAACAAGCTAAATAGTGAATGACAGCATTTCAGCATCTGAATAGTGTAAATTAAAATAATACTACCAGTTACACCTAACAGAAAATTAAATTTTTTTCCTAATGTACTAGCAAAAAAATCCTAGAACAAATGTTACTACTCTTTTTTTAACCTTAAAAAGCTCCTCTTTTCAAACCCAAAATACTAGCCCCATTACAAAGTTAGACAACTCAAGTGAAAACAAGAGTTGTTCGGATTGTAAAAATTTTCCAAAAGTAAATATTTTAAAATGTGGATAATACATAACATGTTCTGAATACAGGCAAAAATTACATCTCTTTTACTTGTGTGAAACATTTTACAGTCCTAGTTCAGAATAGCATCTGTTGTTACAACTACTTTAAAATGTGATATGCTTTAACAGAGCTTAATCTAAACTTTAAGACTTTTATTTTAGAAGTCCTTGCCAATCCCATCAGGTAGCGGCAGACAGCACAATGGTGAGGGTAATCTGTCTTTTCAAAGTTGTTGCTGTTTCAGATAGGAAAACCAAAATCCCTTCCTGAATTAACGTGTTGTGATTTTTATCATAACAAGCTTTCCATGAAACATCTTACCCACAAGTGTCAGGATAAAAGTTTTAGTGCAGATTTAGCTGAATTGCACAAAATATATATCACAGACTCTGAATTCTGAAAGTCGTGGTACTTCAGTACAAGTCTGGAAGAAGAATACAGTTTCATCTAAATCTSTTTGAGGTAGTAACAAACATAAAACACACCATGAAACAAGATGCCATGATGCTAAGAGATTAGCCTGTATCTACAGGAAAATGCCTGAACTTAAAACAATTGGAGTCAATTACTGTAGCAGCACTGGGAATGCTTATCCCTTAAGACTGATGTAGCCCCACAAAACACTCCCTGCAAGCATTCCCTGCTGAAACAKCCATTTCAAATCTTCAGAAATGCACTTCTTTCCTCTTGCTGAAGATTGGCGTTCTCACAGGATACATGAAAGAGCGTGGAAGATAGAACCATGGAATGTGCTGGACCTGGAAGGTATCCTAAAGATTGTCATGTTCCAACCCTCCTGCTGTGGTCAGGAACACCTTCCATTAGGCTGGGTTGCTCAGAGCCTCATCCAGCCTATCCTTGAATACAGCCAGGGAGAGATAATCCACAGCTTCTCTGGGCACTCTCTATCAGTGCTTCAAAAACCTCACAGAAAAKAATTTCTTCCTAATACCTAAAAGATACTGGCAGATCACAGTGAAGTCCCCCCRGAGCYTTCTCTTCTCCAGGCTGTACTGCCCCAACTCTCCTCCTGTATTCATAGAAGAGCAGGTCCATCCCTTGGAACACCTCGTAGCCTCCTCTGGACCCACTCTAACAGATCCACACCTTTCTTGCACTCGGGACCCCCGAGCTGGGAGCAGCACCATAGGTGGAGTCTCAGAAGGGCAGAGCAAAGGGACAGAATCGCCTCCCTTGACCTGGACAGACTGCTTTGGATGTACCCCTAGGCTGCAAGCTCACACTGTTGACTCATGTACAGCTCTTCCACACCCACAAGAATCCCCAAGTCCTTCTTTACAGGGCTGCTCTCTAGAACTTCTCCCAGTCTGTRCTCATGTCTGGGATTGYCCCAATCCAGGTGMAGCACCTTGCACTTGGACTTGTTGAACTCCATGAGGTTCTCATGGGCCCAGTTCTCAAGCTTGTCCGGGTCCCTCTGGATGGCACCCCATCCRTCTGTTGTGTCAAYAKCACTGCTCAGCTTTGTGTCATCTGCAAACTTGCTAAAAAGCACTTGACCTCACTGTCTGTCATTGAGGAAGACATTGCACAGCACTGGTCYCAAAACAGCCAGAGGAGCATCACTCATYATCAGCCTCTACCTCAACACAGAGCCATTGATCACAACTCTATGGCTGCATCCATCCATCCATCCATCCATCCATCCATCCATCCATCCATCCATCCATCCATCCATCCATCCATCCAGCCAGCCAATTTCTTATGCATCGAACTGTCCATCCTCCAAATACAGGTGTCTCCCATTTGGACATAAAGAGCTTCTGAAAAGCTTGTAGCTTGTGATTGCAGAGCTCCAGTTGTATGACTTTTCCCACTGTTTTTCCATGATAGAAATTAGACCATCGTTTTCTAATTTTGCAATGGTTTCCATCTTCTCTTGTTACTCACGCTGCTTGTAGTTGTGTAAGAGAACATGTCCTCAAAACACTCTCCATCTGCTTTAGTGCCAAGAGGGTTGACTTTAATTAGGACAGCTATCTTTATAAATTAAGYAGGCCTTTGTACCAAATTGGATGAGAAGTAATCCCAGCTTCCAGACCATTATTTCAGATGGGGCAAATCTGAAAAAGTGACAGCCACAGGGACTTAGGGGATGATAATGTCTTTAGTTGGCGCAAGCATTTCTTCAGTGAGGGTCTGACCCGCCCTTCTGATGTGATCTTGTATCCAAGGTGAAACTTGTACTAGCTTGGTTTGCAGTGATGCAGAGGAAAAAATCCCTATGCAGAAAGAACATCTATGTGCCCCTCCAAAACAAAACAAGCTGTATTGCTGCAGTTTTCTATCACAATTTAAGTAAAGGCCATGTGTACTCAGTAGTACAAAATGTGGGAATGTGATGAGAAAAGCCTGTCCAGAGCTGCTTTTTTAGCACTGCCCAGCTGCAGGTCCTTTTGCTGATRTTCTGAGCCACAGTAAAGCTGAGTTGTCCTAGCCCATTTCAGTACACATGGTAAATTACATCTAGGTATCTGCTGATACTGCATAAACTCAGACTAGGAATACTAATGGGCCTAATTTTACCCACAGTAAAAGTTTTCAGAAAATGYTTCAAAAGGCTGTTAACAGCTCTTGTGAGACAGCAATCCTCTCTCAAGGACGTTATACTGCTTTTTCTAGTACATTGAGTAGAAATCTCTGTAGTGGGTTTCAAGGATCTCTGCTGCAAAGTGGTACAATCTCATAAAGCAGATCCCTGGTTGCAAACCCTGTCAGAGACAAGGCATGCAGGCAGCTGAGGCTTTTTAACCTTCCATATGTATACCTGTTGCAGTTTATTATACCCTTCCTGCATTTCTGCAGAGCAACGTCTGTTTGCTGGCTTTTCCCGTGTACCAAGCTGGTACAAAGTCTTCAGTGCTGAGAAATACTCTGGATTTGGGATCTTCCTATTGTGCTCAGGGTCCCTTTACTCTCGAGGTGCCCCCACCTCGCTCCACCCTTTACAGCATGTAAATCGGGGGTTGGCCACCGAGTCCCAGCCCGGAGGGATGTTCCCGGCGAGTGCTCTGCCGGCGGGACGGCAGGGGACTGTGAGCTGGACAGCGAGAGGGAAGGTTCGCCAGTGCTGCCTCCTCCTGCCATCGGTGTCCCAAGGGGGTGAGGACTGCCGCATGCCACAGCCTGAGCTGAAGGGCTCTGGACGCCTTCCTTCTGCTCGAGCTCTCCCGGGGGACCTCACGGATATTTCAGGTTGCAGGAAAATGTACTGGGGAAATCATGTTAGGTAAGTTTGCGTGAACTGCCGGGGACCTTCTCTAGCCGGGGGTTCTTACTCCTTTTAAAAGTTCACACGCTCACCATCCTTTTAGTGGCTGTGTCATATCAGCACAAATTTATTTCAGGTTTTCGGTTTTTTGTTT